AGATAGATAGATAGATAGATAGATAGATAGATAGATAGATAGATAGATAGATAGATATATCTGCCATCATCAGGCTTCTGTATAGTGTTCGTTTGTGATATATATATATATATGTTGTGATTGGAAGGATCGGTCCTGTTAAGAGTTTTGAATCTGATGACTGTTAGATCGTGGATTGACGTCAGAACCAGGAAACGTTAATCTGAAGGGCAAGCCAGTTAATTAGCACATTGCCTTAATGGGTATAAAAGGACACAGCTGAGCTGGTGCCTTTTGCCAGAAACAAAATGACTATTTTGAATGAGGACGTTTCTGCAAAGAGATCTCTGTTTGTTTGAATTTTGAAGAGGAGTTCTAACCGTTTCTGCCAGTCGTTATCTTGTTATTTTCCTTCAGTTTGATTTGATTGTGAAACGGCTGCTTTGTGTTTGTTCGTTTGAATCTCCAAGAGGAGACATAACATATATATATATCTGAACTTTTGTTCTTTGCATTTATCTATCCAGGAATGTATTCCAGAATATATATATATTCTGGAATACATTCCTGGATAGATAAATGCAAAGAACAAAAGTTCAGATAATTTGGAATGGAGAATGGGACTACTCTCTGCTTTTAGGATCGTTGTCAGTCAGCAAGTGTGATACAAATACTGCAGGCAAAAGAAAGAATTTAGTTCTGATTTTAAATACAGAATGTATTATTTATTTGTTTGTCAAACATGTACAAGAAAACAAGTATAGTTTTGAACATAAACATGAACAAGGGAAATAAATACAGATCAATGGGGATAGTAGGCACAGTGGTGCATTTTATGCACGCCCCCTTTAAGGACCTCTTAGGAGTGGAGTGAGGTCCACAGTAGAGTTTGAGATTGAAGCTGTGACGGTTTGAGGCTGTAACAATGGAGTCTGGTAGGGCATTCCAGGCATTGACCACTCTGTTATTGAAGTTGTATTTTCTGCAATCAAGTTTGGAGCAGTTTACCTTGAGTTTGTATCGGTTGTTTGCCTGTATTACTGTATTACTGTATTATTGTTTGTATTATTGTGATTGAAGCTGAAGAAGTCATTGACAGGCAATATGTTATAACAAACAACATTGTGAACTATGCTTAGATCGGACCGGCACAGTTCTAGATTGTCCAGGCCCCAAATTCCAAGCCTGGAGGCATAAGGGAATTCTATTGTGAGTGGAGGAGTGGAGGAGTTTTCTTGAGAAATGCCTCTGAACCTTCTCCATGCTGGCTCAGGAATTCTGGGAGTTGAAGTCCACAAGTCATAAAGGAGCCATTGTTTCCCACCTCTGATTTAGAGCACGGGCTAATACTTGCTGCCTTCTCGAAAGTTCTGCAGAGAAAATGGAGGCTGGAACTGGATTGGCAATACCATTAAATGTATAGTCTAACATGGATTTTCAATTTGAGGTGGGGCTTCTGAGGTTCAGCTTCTACGGTTCTGTTTTTGCTCTTCTTA